GTACGCAGGCTTCTCACTGTTGTGGCCTCTCCCATTGCGGAGCACAGGCTCCGGACACGCAGGCTCAGCGGCCATGGCTCACGGGCCCAGCCGCTCTGCGGCATGTGGGATCCTCCCGGACCCGGGCACGAACCCGTGTCCCCTGCATCGGCAGGTGGACTCTCAACCACTGCGCCACCAGGGAAGCCCGCAATGAATTTTTAAATCTTGGGAATCGAGACTTCCACAGGTTGTCATAAAAATCATCACCTCCTTTTAGTGGATTCCTTAAGATTTTCTATATATGAGATCACATCACTTGCAGACAGAGATGAAGTTTTACTTCTCCCTTTCTAATCTGGATGCCTTTTATTTTTCCTGCCTAATTGCCCTGGCTGAAACCCCTAGAACAACGATGAAGAGAAGTGGTGAGGACAGACATCCTTGTCTTATTCCTGATCTTAGGGGAAAGCATTCAGTCTTTCACCATTAAGTTTGAAGTTGGCTCTGTTTTTAAAAAAAATTTAATTAATTAATTTTTGGCTGTGTTGGGTCTTCCTTGCTGGCTTTATTTTCTAGTTGCCGCGAGCGGGGTGCTACTCTTCGTGGTGGTGCAGGGGCTTCTCACTGTGGTGGCTTCTCCTGTTGCAGAGCACAGTCTCTAGGTGCGCAGGCTTCAGTAGTTGTGGCACGCGGCCTCAGTAGTTGTGGCTCATGGGCTCTAGAGTGCAGGCTCAGTAGCTGTGGCACATGGGCTTAGTTGCTCTGCGGCATGTGGGATCTTCACGGACCAGGACTTGAACCCGTGTCCCCTGCATTGGCAGGCGGATTCTTAACCACTGCGCCACCAGGCAAGTCCTATATCTTGATATCTTGATTCCAGGTTTCCCAGGTGTATGCATGTGTTTAAAACTCATTGAATCATTCACTTAGAATTCACTGTATGTAAATTTTACATGAAAAGTAAAAACTACACAAATATTGATTTCTAGTTAATAGACATGCTGGGTGAAGTATACTGATATTTGCAATTTATTCCCAAGTGCACAAAAATGTGAGATGGATTGATATATAGATAGAAGGATGGTTAGGACAGGTAGGTATATGATAAAGCACGTATAGTAGAATGTTAATGTCACTGTATAACCCAGCAATTCCACTCCTAGGTATATACATGAGAGATTTGAAAACATGTTCACACAAAAATTTGTACCCAAGTGTTCACAGCAGCATTATTCATAACAGCTCCAAACTAGAAGAAACTAAATGTTCATTAGCAAATGAATGGATGATAAAATGTTATCTATTCATACAACGGAATATAATTCATCATAAAAAGGAACTAAATAGTGTTATATGCTACAGCATGAGTGAACCTTGGAGACATTATGCTAAACAAAAGAAACTAGACATAAAAGGCCACCTATCGTATGATTCCATTTATATGAAATGTTCAGAATAGACAAATCTTTCTATCTACAGATAGAAAGTAGATTAGTGGTTGCCAGGGTTGGGAAGAGAGGGAAATTAGGACTAATTGATAACGGGCATGGGATTTCTTTTCGGGTGATGAAAATGTTCTGGAATTAGTGGTGATGTTTGCACAATATAGTGAATACACTTAAAACCACTGAAGCACACACTTCAAAAGTGTACACTTTAAAATTCATTTTAAAGTGAATTTTATGTTATGTGAAGTATAGCTTAATTTTTTAAATGCTAAAAAAAAATGTTAATGGTAGAATCTGGGTAGAATTAGGTGCCGGGTAATAGGGTAGTTCATTGTTAAATTCCTTCAATTTTGTTGACTGAAAAATTTTAGAAAAAAATAAATTAAATGTTAGAAAAAAATAAGCCACAGAAAGGGGGTGATTACTTTTGTGACTGCTTTTAGAACTGCCCAGGGCACAGAGGGCTGGCTCCAGGCTGACTATTGGGAAGGAAGGGAGAAACTGTACACCCTGCTGGCATGTTACCTAATGCCTGACAGGGCAATCCTGTGGATTCACACTCCAGGGTTGAAAAGATGTAGACAATCTGCTGCGCGTCGACTAAATTCTTGCCCAATGTGGAGGATTTCCAACTGTATGGCAGGATTGGGGCTTGCCACTGTTTTAGAGACCAGCAGCATCCCTGAGTGATGGGCCTTGGAAGCAGCAAAGCAGACACAGTCTTGCTCCTTTTCCCCTCCCTTCATTGCCTTCCAGCTCCCAGACAGGGAGGCTCTAGGATCTGGGCTGGTTGGGGAGGAGGGATTTGTACTGAGAGAATTTAAGAGATTAGGGGATTCACACTGAGATGCAAAGAAGTGCTAATGAGTTATTAAACACCTCTCTGTAGAGTAGCAGCTACAGAAAGCTGGAAACACTGGGAAGGCAGAAGTTGAAAATGTCTTAGAGACTGCTTACAGGGCAGGGAAGATGACTGTCCACTGGTTAAACGGGGTGCTAGGAATAGTCAGGTCTGTAACTCAGTAGTTAAAATGGATTAAAGGATTGGGCTAACACTGGTGCAACAGTGTGGAGTATTTTGCCATTTATAAAAGTAGAAAGGACTCAAGATTGGAAAGAAGGTTTAGAGGGATGCAGCCCCAGAGGTGGAGACTGGAGTAATGTACTGAGTAGAATAGGGTCCCTTCCAAATTCATGTCCACCAGGAATCTGTAAATGTGACTTTATTTGGAAATAGGGCCTTTGACGATGTAATCAATGTAATGTGAGGTCGAACTGGATTAGGGTGGGCCCTCATCCAGTGGCTGGTATCCTTTTAAAAGAGGGAAATTTGGACACAGAGACACACAGGGAGGATGCCATGTATGGACAGAGGCAGAGATTGGAGTGATGTTTGCCACAAGCCAAGAAACACCAAGGATTGCCAGCAATCACCAGAAGCTAAGAGAGAGCATGGAGCAGCTTCTCCTGCTGAGTCCCCAAGAAGGAACCGGCCCTGCCAACTGACACCTTATTTATATCAGACTTCTGGCCTCCAAAGCTGTGAGAAAATAAATTTCTGTTGTTTTAAGTCACCAGGTTTGTGGTAATTTGTTACAGCAGCCCTGGGAAACCTAGTGCAAGCAGTTTCAAGGAATTGTTTAAAATGTGTAAGCTATGGAGACTCAATGGAAAAACTGAAGGCCTGAGAGCCTCTCTGATGGCTTTTGAGTTATACTAGGCCCAGCCAGATCTACCATTAGAACAGGAAAAAAG